AACAAGTGGTTAGGTGTAACAAGTGGTTAGGTGTAACAAGTGGTTGGGTGTAACAAGTGGTTGGGTGTAACAAGTGGTTAGGTGTAACAAGTGGTTAGGTGTAACATCTGGTTAGGTGTAACAAGTGGTGAGGTGTAACATCTGGTTAGGTGTAACAAGTGGTGAGGTGTAACAAGTGGTTAGGTGTAACAAGTGGTTAGGTGTAATGTAGCCAGCCACCGCTGTGCCTTGTGCCAGCAAAGCTGGTATGTTACGCCAAAGGGCAGTTATATCGGCTATACAGAACTTAAGGGCAAAACGTATGTTGCTCAGCACTAGTGTGTATCTATAAAGCCAGTACCTGCACTTGCCACAGACCAGGGTTGTTCCACACTGTCCAGGTTACTGAGGGGTGTGTTGGAGCCCAACAGCCCTGCTGTGAACAGTCTGATGTTGGGGTAGTTGTTAGCTGCCAGGATTTCCTCCGTGGAGTTGAACCCCTGAAGGAGATAACGGGAAAAGCATTAGAATGAATGATCACTGGATTCAAGTTCAAGTAGGAGAATGCATGCATAACTAGGAAAACTACTGAGGAAAAAGATCATGTCAAAATGTGCATGTACATGTACAAATGTCGGAATGTCAAAAGCCCAGACAGACAATATTATCTCAGACTAGCTATGTTGGGTCAAATATTAATGTTTCACAACCATACAAATGTATTCTTAGTCTAGTAACCCTTTGGTAATGATGGATTATCAAATCTGCAACAGTTACTGTAAGCTTAACAAACTTGTCTGTATTAAATATTGTATTAGTTGTGAGTTACAATATATAAACCTGCCACCCACCATCATCACAGTGAACTGCATGTTACTCTGTCCACTACAGACCCAGACGTCACCAAACATGACGTTGAACAATTTGCGGATGGCCTCTAGTGGCGTTACACCTTTGAAGTACTGGATAGCTGTGACATTGTATGGTCCACCAGCTTTCATAGGGTCAAGAGTTACATTCCACAAACCAGCGTCACTGTTGACTTTTAACGAATAAAAAGTTAAGACTGATAACAGCTTATATCATACAAATGAAAAGAGTTAGACTGCTAAAACCTTGACCCTTAGAAGGCAGGCAAACCATACACAGTCACCACTCATAACTCATTTTTCTCAGAGTTACGAGTCCACCTACCATCAGTACTGTGAACTGCATGTTACTCTGTCCACTACAGACCCAGACATCACCAAACATGACGTCCACCAGTGTTATAACCACGTCCAGTGGGATTGGATCTTTGAAGCACTGCCTGGCTGTGACATTGTACGGTCCACCGGCCTTCATTGGGTCAAGGGTAACATTCCACAAACCTGCATCACTGTTGACTTTTAAGGAATAAAACAAGTTGATTTATAACAGTTTATATCATACAAAAGTTTGACCCAATGACGGCAGGTGCACCATACACAGTCACAGGTAAAACCTGCCACCTACCATCATAACAGTGAACTGCATGTTACTCTGTCCACTACAGACCCAGACGTCACCAAACATGATGTCGTCCAGCTCGATGACTTGCGCTAGCGGCGTTGGACCTTTGAAATACTGGACGGCCTTGACTGTGTACGGTCCACCTGCCTTCATTGGGTCAAGTGTCACATTCCACACACCTGCATCACTGTTGACTTTTAAGGTATAGAAAAGGGTTAGACAACGTTTTGATACCTGTTTCACTGTGTTGAGATGATTACAATTCTGTCCTTGACGTGTTATAGAAAAATTTTGCAGGCTGGTGATAACGTTTCCATAATGTCAATCAATAAACAAGAGGACCCCCAAAGTCTCCATCCAAATACACCAGAATGGCTAAGAACATGCATGGTTCTTCTGAACTTTACTTCATGGGAGTTATACCAAATTATTTATCTTTTTTGATGGTCCATATCTGATGGTTACATTACATAAAAAATAATAATCTGTTGTCTTATAATTTTTCTAAATTTGCAAATCACTTCGATAATACACCATCAAAGCCACTATTAGATAAAGAACCAATTTGTCAAAATTACCTTAAATAGCACACCACACCCCTCCTCACCTGTTTTGAACTCGCTGTCCCCTGGTGTGATCTGGACGGTGACATTAGACCCAGGGTCCCCCTGTCCCCACAGTACAGCCCTGTGGGGGGCCTGCTGTAACACCATGTGGTCTCCATACACAGAGGCAAACTTAAAGGGCAGACCTGTGGAGGAAACATACAGTATCATTAACTTAATATGATTAAGTGACCACAATCGGAGATTGTTACAGATCCACTGGTCTTCATACACCACAAACCAAGAAGTTATGCAGCGAGTCAAGTCACTGGCAGGCCCTCTCCCCAGTTTCCTGTCACTGGTAAAGAAGAGGAAGCTGCAGTGGTTTGGACACGTAACCAGAGCGAAGGGTACCTTAGCTCACACTACAGTGCAAGGGAAGGCGGAGGGTGGACGACTGAGGGGGCGCCCTCGAAGGACCAGTGGACTAGTGACCTGAAGGAATAGAAAGGACATCCCCTGAGTCACCTGACAAGTCTGGCTGAGAACCGCCCTGGGTGGATAACTCTTGTGGACAGTTTAGTTGCCCCAACGGCAGTACAGACTGCTATGGGACTGGTGAGGTGAGGAGGCCATAAGTTACTCATGAGCATCATTATCTCTCTGAAAATATCGGTGATCATAATGGTCAGCCCAGCTGCATTGTGTACACTTTTAAATTTTTAATCTGCACATTTTTTTATTTATTTATTCATTTCAACTTTATTTACATCTAATACATGTAAAAAGGTCACGAGAAGCAGGAAAGCCCATTAGACTCCCTGACCAAAATTAAGTGACAATCCTTTTCAATAAATAATGCATATCAACAATGATAATAATTGTAACAAAAAAATACTAATAATAATTTTAGCAAATAGCAACAATGAGATAATGAAGTAATGCAAAATAATAAAGTAATGTATGATAATAAAGTGGCACAAAAAGACTTAAATGGTCAACAATTTTGTTGTAACATATAAGAGCAAAGCAGTAAGTAAAGTGCTTGCATCAGATCTAACGTTTAATGTGTGACAAATTACTATATGAGACACGTCTTATATTGCCCAAGGATCATAAGAGGCATGCTGAATTGGTGCGTGTTGCTGTATTGTTATCAAAAGCCTGTTGACTGATATTATATCGATCTCACCTTCCGCAGAAGAGAAAAACAAGGTACAAAGGCACAGGACAAGTCCACAGTCCCACCACGCCCCTCTCCCGACTGGTCTCCCAACCATCGCGATCGTCTCTTTCCTTAACCAGGCGATGAGCGTCTTTTCCCCTTTATTCGCTTCAAAGAGACCTTCCGGGAGAAATTTGTCGACAGTTCCTTGAAAATCCCACGATATGCGAAGTTTGTTTGACGCTCAAAGCAGGAAAAACGAAGTTTGCTCCTACAGGACTAGTTCCGAGTCCAAACACCTGCTTTGTTATGGTCAAAGGTCAACAAAACAGTCCCATCATGCCCCACGGTTGAGTAAACTTTGTTGGGTGCTAAGGCCATGTTAATTTGATTATATGGATGACATCCCCTGGGAACCCAAAAACTGATGCGAGCGTGCGCATAAAAATGTTTGGCTAAAAAAGAAAAGTTGCTTTCATTATGAAATCTACGTGGTCATGAAGGTTGAACAAATGACTAAACATATGGGTATTGTATGGCAAAAAATAGACTCTTCATACCAGTATTCATTTCTTTGCATTTTCTTTTTTTCCTTTCTCTTTTGAAAGGAAAATCTATTTTGTCATTCTATGACATTAGTATCGTTTTCCAATATTATTTTTTGCAATTTACGGCATATATTTGCTCATTTTGCTGGTGCCTTGTGTGATTCATGGTATGGTTGAAAACTTTTTTTTTGGAAACGGACAAAAATTAATGCGCATGTGGATGTCATGCATATAATCAAATCAACATGGCCATTCAGGTGCCTCATAAAAAACATAGGATATGATGTTAAACACACAGAGCCAAGGAATCAAATATGAAAAAAAGAATAAGAAAAACTCACACCATTTCCTTTATAGCTCATTTATTTTTCTCGGCTCCATTGATAGCACTCCATCAACAGGAGTTAGTTTTTCACAATGCATTTTTTTTTACATTCCAAATATTATTCAGCTGTGTAGGTAGAAGTTCACATTCAAAATAGCATTATAGGTATGCAGTATAATCTTATTTCCGTGTATGTTACATTCTGGTGGATTTCTTTTTTGTCAGATCACCGCATTGTATTTTACAGAAAGCAATCACGGAATTGATCAGTCCCCATCATGACATCTTTCTCACTTAAAGCTGTTCAGTAGTAGTACATTAAGATGAGTAACTGGACTGTAGTTGTGTACAAGACATCATGGATAGACGTACTTACAATTACACACTCAGGCTTTATTTGATTTTTGAACCAATTGTTCCCTGAAGCACTCACTAACATTTTAAATGAAAGCTACAATTTTGTAAAATGCAGGTAAAATAACACCGCCTCCTCAACCAACATGTAATTTTTATGTGTTAAAAACTTGAGTAGATTCACGTATAGTCTGTTTCAGAATAGATATAGAAATCTGATTTCTTGCTGAACATTCAAATGAATGTAGGGATGTAACATTTAA